GTTTATTTGACTATGCTTCTAAGAACTTTATGCTATGTTTGTGCTCTATATAAATAAACCATGTCTCCACCTTATATCATCCAGAGTTTCTTATTACACAACTGCATACAATAGCAAAATTAAGAGAGATTCAGCCTTTCTGAAAACACACACACAGCACAGTGGTCGTCTTCATAAGACCGTTTCCAATATATCATGGGACCTGCAGGGTAGTGCATTTGCCTTCTCACTGACCTAATCTCATTACCAGTATGGACTGCGTGTCCTTTCTAACTATCAGACAAGACACAAGACTGCATACAAAAAGACTGAGCGAATGTTCAGACACTAAAAGCAAAAGAAAAAAGAAAAATCCTTGAAAATGGGGGCAATGGCCTTGTTTAATGGATGTTGGTTGCCAGAATGTGTGCTGATAGAGCGTAAAGCTGATTAGAGGGCATCTAACTTCCAAAAACATTAGAGGCACAGAGTTAACCAATTCTAATGGATTGATTGTTTGTTCTTTTTTCCATGTACTTTAACTACCAACCTGGATAAATAGGCTCTAAAGCTAATCTATTCCTACCTAGATCAGTGGGGGAAGACAAAGAAGCATATTAGGACCCCAGCAGGAGTTTATCACTCTGACACACCGTCTAGAATTAGAAAAGAGCAGCCATTTGTTTATTAGTGAAACACGCCACAATAGGGAAATAAGAAAACTTGAGGACTCCTGAGAAGCACCTGAAAACGCTGGATTTTTCCTCAGTTCTCCGTTTTAACTCACACATGCCCACAGTGTCAAATGTTTCTACTTCAGTTATCATCAAATGTGCTTAATTCATAAAGGAAAAATTAATGTGGCTGCATTAAAGACTCATTCTCAGTTTTTTTTGTTTTTGTTTTTGGTTAATGTGCTTTGATCAGGTAACATCACTTTCTAATCTGCAAGTAGGGATCTAGACACCTTAAAAATGTTAACACTGAAAACCCATAAATGCTATAATACACACACGTGTCACACACTTGGTGTAGACCTTCCACCTTCTTTGATGGCATGATAAGGCTTCCACACTCTCTCCCATTTGAAGATGCACAGCCTAAACCAGCATCCAAATCATTTCTCCTCTTGAAGCAAATCATTTCAGTCAAACTCGGATTGTCAGTAAAATCTTAAACACTACCTGTCTTGTCTGTCAGCAGATAGACAAGCCGGCCCAGTTCCTCGGGGATGGTGCTGGTCCTCACAACAGTGCCGGGGATGTTTTCATCTTTCATTATCATCCAACCGTAGGCCGACTTTCCCATGTCCAAGTTTACACGCAAACTAAACAAAAAAACGAAATTAAATAAAATGACTGTAATCCACCACCAGTAAAACAACAAAACTGTATTAAAGACCAAATAAAAAGAAATGGCTACAAACAAAAAACAAAAAACAAAAAAAAAAAACAAAACAAAACAAAACAAGCAAAGAGAAAAAAAAGGGGGGAAACAGATTAAGAGTTTTAAGAGTATCTTTGTCTCACCAGTCACAGTAAGGCTACATAAATTAAGAAAAAAGAAAACGCTGGCTAATTCTTTTTTCTTCTTAAATAACTTGTCCTTTTGTCCACTGTTCACCAGTATTAGTAAACCTTAACTGAATTAAAAAGATAACACTTTGAATTCAACAACTGAAGCAAAATAAATTCAACATACAAAAATCTATTTAACTTTGAACACAAAGATTTGATAGGAAATCTGTTTTGAATGTACTGTAAGATCAAGCTTCAAAATATTATTTTTTCTAAAATAATATTATTAAAAATAATATCATTATTATAACTATTTTGGTAAGAACATTTACACCTGCCTGTGTGGGAGGATCGTCTTCTGAGGTTTGTATTTGAGACTTGACCAGTATCATTTTCAAAGATCGCATAGGTCGATTTTTTAATGATTTTTTTTACGTTCATACCACATGTTCCTGATGGAAAGAGCTATAATTATTTGATGAGAATTACACTGTACCTGATGGGGATGATGTAGGAGAAAAGCACAACAAATCGGAAGAGATTGCGGAACCAAGGACCCACAAACCCTTGCAGTGCAACCATCACCACAGAGAGAACCACCTGGGCCAGGAACAGGGCTTTGGTGAGACGGTTCAGCTCCAGGTCCAGCAGGCCAACCTTTGGGGAAAAGATAGAGGTCAAAATGG